TTCTATCTCGCATGGGAATGAAAAATTGTAAGCCACTTCCTACACCTTTGTCTTCCTCAGAAAAACTTTCAGCATATGAAGGTGTGCCACTTCAGGAGGAGGAAAGCACAAGGTATAGGAGTATTGTGGGAGCATTACAATATTTAACTCTCACCCGTCTAGATATCTCATTTGCTGTCAACAAGGTTTGTCAGTATCTACATGCACCTACTTCTGCACATTGGTCAGCTGTCAAGAGGATCGTAAGATATGTGAAATATACTATGGGAATAGGACTTCATTTCAAACGTTCTAATTCCTCTCTTGTGAGTGCATTCTCTGATGCTGACTGGGCAAGATGCAGTGATGACAAAAGATCAACTGGAGGCTTTGCAGTATTCTTTGGGTCTAATCTTATTTCTTGGAGTGCTAGAAAGCAAGCCACTGTGTCACGGTCAAGTACAGAAGCTGAATACAAGTCCTTAGCAAATGCAACTGCTGAAATCATTTGGGTTGAATCACTTCTTGAGGAATTGGGAATCAAGAAGAATCGTATCTCATGTTTATGGTGTGATAACTTGGGAGCAATATATTTGTCTGCAAATCCTGTATTTCATGCAAGGACAAATCACATCGAAATTAATTTTCACTTTGTGCGAGAAAGAGTTGCAACAAAGGAACTTGAGATACGGTTTATTTCCTCCAAGGATCAGATAGCAGATGGCTTTACAAAGGCATTACCAACAAGACCATTTGAGGAGTTCAAGAGTAATCGTAATCTGGGATAGTTAAGATTAAGGGAGGGTGTTAGAGAATATTACTGTAATCCGTTGCGTTGTAATCCTAACCTCCTTCCTATTCCTTGTTCTACTCAAACTCCTTCCTTCTTATCTTGTACGCCAAGGCAAGGCTTCTGCCACACATCAATATATACGAGATGCGGCTCCCCTCGAAGGAGTAGGAACGCTTATTATCTTTCAGGATTGCCTTGCTTTTCTAGAAATGAATCTACTTTTGCAACTTTCATTTCTTGTTGGACGTTCAGTCGTATAGTGACAAGAACTACTTCGAATTTGTACGGTACAAAATTGTCAATTCTAACAAAACCCTCGCGTCGCTCAAACTTGACCACTCCTCCTTGTCGCTCCGGACCCCACCTCGGGCGACTCGGGTGGGCCACAACCCTAGCCGCCGGGGCCGCAGTCTACTTCCTCCCCTTCCCCCGTCGCCACCGTGGGACGCCGTCGGGCTAAGCCCGGGGGCCGACAGCGGTGGCGGGGGTCTTCCTCTCTCCCGCGGCATAGGGGTGGTGCTGGGCTCCCCAGCGTGAGGAGGCGCAACCGGTCGGGTCCTTGTGGCGCGGCGGCCGGCCCTTCCTCGGGCGATGGTCATGGTTGTGATCGGCGGATGGCTCTGCGGCGAGAAATCTTACCTCGTATTGACGGCGGCGGCGTGGAGGGCCTGATGGATGGATCGGCTGCATGCGTGGTCTGGTCTCCGGTTAGATCTGATCTAGCCGGTGTGGCCCGCTCCATCCGTGGGGCAGAGATCGGTGGTGGTCCCGTGCACACAAGGCTGGATGGAGGCTCCTCGAGCGGATACAGGTGAGAGTGTGTCGGACCGGTGTGTATCCCAGTCCCGGCTAGCGGTTTTGAGGCCTCCACTTTAGATGTTGGGCTTTGGTGTGTTGTCTGGGTATGCGGCTCCGACAATCTGCATCACTTCATCAAGTTGACATGAGTAGCGATGTTAAAATTGTGTCTTCAAACTTATTGATGTATTACTTTTGTAATGTCTTGGTGAATAATTAATGATAAGACTGCATATAGACAAAGGCCCAGGATCATCCTTCTTTAAAAAAACCACTCATCGAAAATAAAGATATTCTTGATGCAAACCAAAGAAAAAATTCTTATGAAACAAGTCAACCAAGAGACGCCAAAAGCATAATCAGAAGAATCTTCGATTCATAACCACAACTGCACAAAAAATAGATACCTTCCCATTGATTGATCACGCCAGTACCACCAATCGCACTGGCACCCCGTTTGGGGCTGAATGTTGAGCAATCTTGGGAAGTTGAGTTGTAGGAAGCTGAATCTTGAGCAATCTTGGGAAATTCTTAGGGGAGGGGGGTGAGGGAGAAATTTTAGGAAGGTTACATTAGAATTTTGTAGCTTCTTCATAGGTGTAGGATTATCGATAGCAAAACTCAAAGGCAGATACGAATAGAGAGGCTCGGGTCGCCCCCCGCTCGGGCGACTTGGGCTCCCCAACCCTAGCCGCCGTCGAGGCCTAGCCCATCCTCCTCCCCTCCTCCCGCCGCCGCCGGAGGACGCCGTCGGCTTGCGTCCGGAGGCCGACAGCGGTGGCTGGGGCTCTTCCTCCCTCCCGCGTCTCAGGGGTGGCGGGACCCCAACATGCGTGGAGGTGCGGCCGATCTAGAAGCGACGACGTTGGCTTCAATGGCGGCGGCGGTCGGCCCTGCCTCGGGCCACGGGCGGCTGCTGCGGCAGCTGGCCTGGATCGGGCGGCGGCGTGATGCGGTCTTCGGCGGCATGTCATCTGGCTTTAGATCGGCGACGGCGTCGAGGTCCTAGTGGACTGCTTGGCGGCACCCATGGCAGATCTGTTCTGGCCGGTGTAGCTAGTGGTGGTGGTCATCTTCTTCGTCGGCGGTGGCCGGCCAGAAGCTTGGTGATCGGATCTCGAGATCCATCATCTAGTCCCGACTGCGAGTTGGGGAGACATGGTTGCCGGTGAAAACCGAGCCGATGTCAGGCGATGGCGGCGTTCTACGCCATTATCTTGATGAAGGCATCATTGTGTAACTACTGTCGACCTACTCGTGCTCCTCCGGGGGAAACCCTAGGATCTGGTGTTCCAGATCGGACGATGGCGGCACTGCGGTGTCGTTTCTCTCTTGGGAGCATCGTTTGTGGAGCAGCGCTGGAAGTCAGAGGCAGGAGGTGGAGCGGTTTCGTCTTGCACGGAGCTTCGGTGGAGATGTCAAGTCATGCCTGACCGACAGGTGCTACGCTTGGTCATGCCTGATCGGCAGGTGCTACGCACGACAGATCCTCCAAGGACTTCAAGCTGTGTCGGCTGGTGATACTTGGCAGCATGGCGCTGAGATGTATCAGTGGCCACCGCGACGTGTTCAGTTGTTTGCGCGCAGGGAGGAGGTGCCGTTGGGCGCCGTGGTGGCGTCGACGATAGATGGATCGGGCAAGGTTGATGCATCAGCACAGTTCTGAAGATGGAGTGGTGGCAGTTGGCGGCGGCGGCCTCTGAGAGCACGTCGGACCAGTGTGTCCCAGACCCGGCAAGTGGCTAGGTTGGGGTCTCAGGTCTTAGATGTTAGGCTTGACTGTGATGTCTGTTTGGTATTAGGCCCAGGCTATCTACGCCCCTTCATCAACTGGATAGATGTAGCGACAGTTTGTTGCTTAGACTGCGGCTTTAGTCTTACTGCTGTATTGATTTTATAAGGTCTTGTGAGAATAATTAATAAAGTGGCCGTATGCATCGCACAGATGCAGAGGCCGGGGTTATCCTCCTTTTCTAAAAAAAGGCAGATACGAATCAAACTTTGGTTGAAGGGTTAGAAGGACAATGACGTTCAGGCCAACTCCACCGCGCGACCCTATCCTGTCCGCCCCCGTCCGTTTGGGGTAAAATGGACAAACGAGACGGCCCAGCGCGCGACGGCCCGGACCCGTCTTGTCCGTTTTGTGTCCGAGCGCAAACTTGGGTCCTGCACTGGGCCGTCGCGATGGAGGAGGCGATGGAGGAGGACCCGCCGGCCTCATTCCAGCAGCTGCTGGGCCAGGGGTGGGGCGGGTCCTGCACTGCTCTGGAGATGGCCGCCGGCGTGGGCGTGAACTGGTGCCCCACTCCATCGCGCTCACCGGAGCGGGAGGCGTCGCCACGGGAGGAGGTAGTGCAGGCACCTCCGGCCGTCCAGCCCGCCCCCCATCCACCACTCACCTCCGGTCCACCTGTGGACCCCGCCGGCCTACGTCGACCTCGTCAGCGACGACGACACCGGCGGCCAGTGAAGACGGCGACGGCCACGGCACCGACGGGCGCGGCAGGAGCGCGCGGGAGGAGTTTTTTTATTTTGTTTTTATATGTTAATTATAAAACTGGGTCTTTTAAGTGGCCGTGGAAACTGGGCCGTTTTGTGGCCGACCCCTATATATGTTTTATGTTTTTTTAAATGCGTTTATTTACTTTTTAGTTATTTCATTTCAGTTTATATTTTTTTATTCTCGTCCACCCCGGACACGATTTGGGGTGCGGCCACACGGTGCGCGCACGCACGACCCATCTGACAAAGCCGGACACGGGCGAACCCATCGGCGCCCCAAAGGGACAAAATCCGGCCAATCCGGACGTCCGTTTTGGGTCGTGCGGTGGAGTTGGCCTCACTGCCCAGCAGAGTTCAAGTCTCAGACCTGACATTGGTACTCGTATTTAGCTAGATTTATTTCAGACTTTTAGGTGATGTGCGTTCAGTGTGGGAGACGTTCCGTCAACTATGAAAAAGACATATGTGACGACTTAGTCAATCTCAAGATGATGTGTTGGCTTAATCTCTCGGTGCTCATAAGGGTAGAATGTATGAGTTCATTCATAGGGATGAGTACATGTGTGTATGCGTATGTATGATCGTCACAAAAAAAAGTCAGGGCAAGTGGGAGAGGACGCGTACTGGTCCAAGAGTACGTATTGATGCACAATCCAACATTTTCGTTTTTCAACGGCTAGTCTATTTTTTTCCCGGAGATCGTCTATCTTTCTTCCCACGGCATTGAAGTGTGGAATCGGTCATCCTCGAGAAGGCCGAAGCTGTCACAGATCCAAGATCCAGAATGATCTGTCCAGCCCACGTGCACGGGAAGAAGTGACCACGTGGATCCCGCCTCTACTAAAGTCTGCCACACAACGTCCATAAACCGCGACGACCTGGGCGGCAACCATCGACCGTATCCGTAATTCCGTATCACACTCACCCCATGCCCGGCGACACGGCACCGCACGTCGTGGAGGATCTCCTCGGCATCGTCCAGATCCTCAGCGACGGCTCCGTCGTCCGCGGCGACGAGTCCGTCCTCGGCCCAAAGGAGCCGTTCCCGGACGTCCCCGGCGTGGAGTGGAAGGACGTATTGTACCACGCGGCGCACGGCCTTCGCGTCCGCGTCTACAGGCCGGCGTCCGCGTCGTCGGTGGCCGGCGGCGCCAAGCTCCCGGTGCTGGTGTACTTCCACGGCGGCGGCTACTGCCTCGGCTCCTTCGCGCAGCCGACCTTCCACGCGTTCTGCCTCCGCGCCGCCGCGGAGCTCCCGGCCGTCGTGCTGTCCGTGCAGTACCGCCTCGCCCCCGAGCACCGCCTCCCCGCGGCCATCGAGGACGGCGCGGCTTTCCTCTCCTGGCTGCGCGGCCAGGCCGAGCTCGGCGCCGGCGCCGAGCCGTGGCTCGCGGAGTCGGCGGACTTCGCCCGGACCTTCATCTCCGGCGTGTCGGCGGGCGCCAACCTGGCCCACCACCTCACCGTCCAGGTCGCCACGGCGCGGCTCCCGGTCAGCCCCGTGCGCGTCGTCGGGTACGTACTCCTCTCCGCCTTCTTCGGCGGCGCCGAGCGCACGGCGTCGGAGGCCGACACGACGACGGACGTGTCCCTGCCTGTGGAGATATGCGAGCAGCTCTGGCACATGTCGCTTCCGGTCGGGGCGAGCAGGGACCACCCGGTGGCGAATCCGTTCGGGCCGGAGAGCCCCAGCCTCGCGCCGGTGGAGCTCCCGCCGGCTCTTGTGGTGGCGCCGTTGGGCGACGTGCTCCGTGTCCGCGTGCTGGGGTACGAGGCGAGGCTCAAGGACATGGGGAAAGACGTCGAGCTAGTCGAGTTCGAGGGACAGCAGCATGGCTTCTCCGTCCTTCAGCCGTTCGGCGAGGCGGCCGACGAGCTGATGCGAGTCCTCAGGCGGTTCGTGTACCAATGTGACACGCCCGCTGTGCGCTGATGTGTTGGTGAATGGTGATCTTCTAATGCTACTGTTTATGTTCTGATGGCTACTGTTTCGATGTTCTGAACTTCTGTGTCGACAAATAAATTATAAATCTTGTTTTGATTTTCATTTCTGGTTGGATGTATAGGTGTACAATGGTTGGGATTTTGATCAAATCATGACCCACTTGCTAATTCTTTTTTTTAACACAGAAAGGAGCCATCAAGCGTCAGGTTCTCATTCGTCTCACAGACAATGTACAACACGAGAAATGATGTTCTACCATGCACGGGATATGCCGTGCATGGCTAAGCCATTCATTTTTTGGAGATTCGGACATATATTGACCTGGCCTGTTGTATCTCCTGCATGTTGCTTATTTAATTGAATTTTATTCAATCATATTCTACTACTCTTGTGTCTTATCACGTCAACTATTTATTATTGATATGAGTGAAAACGAGAGAGATGTAAAATGAATCCAATCGGGATCAATTTCATTGATGATCAGTCCTTATATACAACTGGAGGGGACACAAGCGGAGGGGCGCATCCACTCGATGGGGAACGAGGGAACCGTCGTGACTGTTGCCAGATTGCCAACGCAGTGCAGTTACACAAGAGAGGGTTATCTTCTTAATAACATTATTAATTAAATCCTAACACTCTCCCTAATCCTCGCCTGTCCTTGTGAATGATCATCCTTGAAATACTCTCCTCCAAAAACCCCGCGGGAAAAATATGAGGAGATATACGTAATATGCCATGAAAAACTCCTTCCAAAACCCAGTGGAAAAATAAGGAGAAAATGACATATCACAATGCTTGTATTACTATTGCCTCATTAAAAACCTTTCATGAGAAACCATTCAGGAAAAACTCATAAAGGAAAAGAGTGCAATACAAAAAATCCGAAGATCCCGAACAGGTTATCGTTCAGGAGTACACTCCCCCTGAACCTTGCAAATAACAAAGTCATCTCAAACCAATTCTATTAACTTATTTCTGGAATGAAGAACTTGGTAAAGACTTTGTAAATAAATCATCAAAGCTATCACATGACTTCATTTGCAAGATATTTATCTTCCACCTTTCTTTAACTCATGGGGAATAAAATATTTTTAGAGCCATACACATTCTAGTGTTGCTCTTTATAACCTGTCTACATCTATGTAATACAGACAAAACATTATCTTCATAGATGATGGTGGGTGATTCCCACCAACCAGACCCACTTGAACTTTCAACAAAGTTCATCATTTCTGTGAAGTCACATACATTCATGAGATGCTTCATACAAATCAATGATTTCAGAATGATTAGTGGATGCAGTCACTCTAATATGTCTTCTCGACTTCCCAAAGAAGGTCACACCTTTATTCGAGGAGACAAAAACCAGTCTGTGATTTAGGATTATGGGGATCTAATATATACCCAGCATCACAATATCCAACCATGGTCATATCTTGATTTTTCTTCATAGAACAAACCAAGATCTATGTTGTCCAGAAGATACCTAAAAATATTCTTCACACCAACCCAATGCCTTTTAGTCAGTGATGCATTGTATCTAGCCAATAAATTTACTGCTAATGAAATACCAGGCCTGGTGCAGTTTGCTAGATACACCCGTGCTCTCATTGCACCGTGATATTGAAACTCAAGTCCAAATATCTCTTCATCACTGCCATTAGGCCTTAATTGGTCCTTATCTCCAGTAATCCAAAGACCTCAAAACCATAGTTCTTTAATGGGTAAATGTAGACTGGTGAACAAGTATTCCCGGAGGAATACGCTGAAGTTCCAAACTCAAGCAAAGTTTGGTCTCAACCAAATCTTACATTCCGTCTTAATATGATATGATTATATCATGTATCTCTTGTGTAGCTCTAATGATACTAGATCATCAACATACACAAAAAATGTACAAAAACCCCTCTTTGGATTTCTTGATGAACACATGAACAATCATCAATGTTTGAGTAACCTTCTAATAAAGGAACTCACTCAGTCGGTTCTACCACATCATTGCCGACTACTTCAAGTCATAATGACCTCTGAAGCTTTATGCAACACATGTTGCGATTAAACTCGGAATCTTTGTTCCCTCAGGAACTATCATAGAGATATCCGAATCAAATGACTCATACAACTATGCAGTCACAACATCCATCAGTAGAATAAACAAATTCATTATTCACTGCCAGTGACATTAAATATCGGAACGTTATTCCACTCATAGGAGAATATGTTTCATCATAAATGATGATGGGTCTCTACGTGAACCCATGTGCTACAAGCCTCGCTTCATGTCTCACCACCTCTTGGTTTTTATTCCTCCCATAAACAAAAACCAGCTGTGCTCCCCCGGAAACACATTTAGATGAGTGAATATTACTGATCAGGTCAATATCCCCTCTTCTTGAGAGCGAGTGCATCCTCAATTGTTGCATTCCTTTGGATCAACCAGAGTGTCCAAGACACTTAGCCATGCATGGACTTAAGTTCTAGATCCAATCCAAGGTCTTTTGCAATTCACGAGGTGAAAATAAATGTCGACATAATGTAGTCTTGATTATATGATTCTCCTGAATCCATATACATAGTGGCGATTTCATCATCACCTTTTGACTCTCCGTGATTTCCCACAACAATTGAGTCAAGGTCTTCCGATGTCCCAGCACCAATATTTTTGTGCACACTCGTGCTGGGTCCTGGATGTGTCCAACATCCTTCAGGTGTCTTTCAACCCTAGGTTGAATGTCAACATGTAGTTGACTTGCATTTACTGTTTGAGGATTCCTCATTCCACTTGGACGTTTCTTTAAAACCTTGTCCTATGTGTCCAGATTCCTCCCCCTATTTGGTGGCCGAGTGGACCAATGGGTCACATCCAGTCTCTCTGGCACATTCATTATGGGAACATTTTACTCTATGACACCTATACTCAGTAAATGCATCTGGCAGATTATTTGCGATACTTTGCAAATTGATAATCTTCTGAACCATCCAGTTCAGATTCATTCGTACGTGGATCTAAGGACTAGATATCTATTCACATCTCATTCTATTTCCCGGCATTCAATGTGGTTCTTATCTCCCCCTAATGCCAGAAATATGTCCTCATCAAAATACAATCAGCATACCAGGCCATAAACAAGTCCCCTTTTAGAGACTTCAGGTATTTTATGATTCACGGAGAATCGTACCTCACATAGATCCCCATTTCTCTATGAGGGCCCATAAATGTATGTTGCGGTGGTGACATCGGTTTGTATTAAACACAACCAAATTATCGCAGATGGGAAATATTTACTCATTTCCACATCCTAACTGCAATGGGGAGACCATATAATATGCAGTTCGTCGAATTTGTATATGCAGTACGTAAAACTGCAATGTCCCCAACTAGATGTTGGGAGATTACAATTCTGTAGAAGCAATCTTGCTATCAACTTATCGTCTTGACAAGTGATTCCACAAAACCAATCTGGGTATGTACACAAAGTACCAATATGCTCCACAGTTATGCCTCAGTCTAGGCAGTAATCATCAAATGCTCACGAACTAAATTTCGCAGCATTATCCATTCTGATGGATCTTATCCCGTGCTTAGGATGATTTCCTCTCAAATTAATGATTTGAGCAATAAGCTTTGTAAAAGCATGGTTCCTTATGGAAGTAAGACACATTGGACCATCTCACTGATGTATCCAAAAGCACTATGAAATATGTAAATATTCCATATAACGGTTGAATTGGATCACATATATATCTCCTATCCAAGGAAATCTAGTGGCTCATCCTCTTTCATGAGATAAGATGGCCTTGCGATCAGTTTCCCAGTTTGCACACATCATGCATACATAATCCAGTGCGTATCCAATTTAATATATGTATAATACAATCCACAATATAGAGAAGCATTTACTATAGGATTTCATTCGAATCCTTTTTGTTGAGTCATGAGTAGGTTTCCAACCTCACTCATTATATGAGTTTTGACATAGAAACCATTGCGGATATCCTTATAACTCAGCAAGGTACGAGTAGAATCTAGATACATCAATGTACCCATGATTACCATGTAGTACCCATAGGGAGTGTAATTTTGGCTTGACCAGAGCCAACAATTACCCCCTCACGACCAACAATTGTCATGATATTTCCATTACTCTTATCAAGAGCTTGGAAATAGTTAATCTCCCTAAATATCATGTTAGTAGACCCAGTTTCTACTTAACACATTTCCTTCTCAATTGGACTATTTCCATAAGTTTCTAAAAAGAAAGAAACCAATTTCAACATATGATTGAACTCATATGGAAATAATACATACATCATAAACTATATATGTCAGAGGACATACAACAAGCATCATGTTTGATGACATAGCTATCATATTATGTTGATGGACATAATTTATTTCACAACATGTAATATGTCTATAGACATCATTACATTGCATGACAAAAGAGACTGAACCCGGTCTCCATATATGTCACTAAAATTGAAGTCCACTAACTTGTCATCGACACTCAATAGTGGACCTTCCTTTTGCTCAGCATGCTTCTGGTTGCCCATGTTTCGAGGAACGTATGGGGACTTTCAACCATTGGGAATTCTGTTATGTCAAGTGGAGTAAGATTCACACTTGTTCCCATGGGCCTCTTTCCCATAGCCAATTGATGCATGTACAGATCCACCAAATGCGTGGAAGTATCACATTTCCTTGCATTGTGAGTAGCATAACCACATGTATAGTAACCGATGCTACTGACCTCGTCATTCTCCAAGAAATGACTTGTGCCTTTTTACGCTCCATTCATATTTTGCTTCTCATAATGTCTCCACTTTCCTTCACCATTGATTAAATTGTTTAGTCAAATCCTAATAAAAGGATTGAAAGTGGAAAGCATTTCAATGAGACTAGCATCTGAAACCACACTATTGTAGAGTCTCAACTTTCAGTTGATTTGATGCACAATAGAGTTGTATGTTGTCACAGACCGAAT